GGCTTGGGGTTTGGGTTTAGGGCTTGGGTTTAGGGTTTAGGGTTTACGGTTTCTTATAAGGATTTGGGTATTGAAAGGGCTGCTGTAGCAGTTAGTCTAAGGGGTTCGATGAGGTTTTAATCTCGTCATCGGAACCGGTTTTGGGTGGTAAATTCGCGTGCGACGTAGGAAGCATTGCGGGCCATTGTCACGCAACCCTAAACCCCAAGCTCTAAACACTCTAAACTCTAAACCCTAAACCCTAAGCCCTAAACCCTAAACTCTAAACCCTAAACCCCAAACCCTAAACAAGAGCCTTCTGTCCAGAACGCTCAAAAACTGAATGGTGAGGGTCTACCTACCCCAACCTCAGAGCCCCAAACACCAAGCCTTAAGCCCAAAGCGCTGCGCCTGAAGCCCTAACACAGCACACATCGTTTCGATTATTGCTATTATTATCGAGACTTAGTATTGTGCGTGTTCTTCTTATTATTATCTGTATATGCACATATATATAATATCTTAAGCCCCAGGGCTTGCAACTCTAGACCCGAAGCCCCGAACCCGACACCCAAAACCTGTCCGTTCTAGTGAAAGGCGAGCGGGAGCTGCAGCTGAGGTGCCGGTGGGAACAGCTCTGCGTGTGCATAGGGTCTCTAGGGTTTAGGGTTTAGGGTTTAGGGTTTAAGGCATAGGGTCTCTAGTACACCGAGAGGTCTGAATGAGTAGGAATAGTAGTCTCCTCTGGACGCCACTGACTCCAGGGTTTAGGGTTAGGGGTTTGGGGTTCCGGATAGAGGCCTTAATAATTACCTATTTTATTTGGGGTCTCCTTAGTATAAGTACAGTATAATAGACCCCAAAACCCTATTCTTTATTTATTAAGGCCCCTACATTAGTTTACATGTCTGGTTCAGGGTTGTGGAAGAGTGCTTCAATGATTCAATAGATTGCACCTCAGCTCCTGGTCAATCCAATTGGGGCTTCGTAAAAATAGGGGTGCCCCACTAAGTATAGAGCCGGGTTCCTGCGTTACGGAGTGTGTATCTTCAGGTGCTCTAGCTACTGGCAATTCTCTAGTCCCTGTAGCGCAGCATCTGTTGAGACTTTTTGCATGCCCACGGCTTTTGCGCAATAGTCACAGTCGGTTTCAAGACCCCAGGCCCTAAACATGTTTATGAAAACATGTAGAAATGCAAAGCGAGGTTGGTATCGTCCCAGCCATGCGAGCGGAAAACATACAAGTAAGAACACCATCCCTGAACAAACTGTAAACCGTAAGCTCTCAACCCTAAAACGGTCAAACTTGAAACCTGACCCACTGAACCCTTTCAAGTTTGGGGTTCTGGGTTTGGATCCCAAGCCCAGAACAGACCAAAGCTCTAGCCGCGAAGTGTCAATCACGAGTGTGGAGGTCCTGAGGTTCCTTTCAACAGATGGCGCCTTCAGAAGCCCCTAAACCCTAAACCCTAAACCCCTAAACTCCTAAACTCCCTAGACCCTAAACTCCCTAAACCCCTAAAGCCTAAAAGCCCTAAACCCTAAACCCTGAAACCCTAAACCCTAAAACCCCTAAACCCTAAACCCTGAAACCCAAAACCCAGGGGGCTCCATGAAATAGGAGTCTGAAGCCTTGTAAGAGCGAGCCCCTCCCGCCAGGATCCGAAGTCAGATCCTCGCGGCTCTGAACGACGGCTCCCTGGAAGAGGACGGGCCTTCTCGGGTTTAGGTCTTAGGCTTTAGGGGTTTAGGGCTTATAGGGTTTAGGGTTTAGGGTTTAGGGTTTAGGGTTTAGGGTCTTGGGCTTACCTATAGTCTCCATTGTAGTTCCTTTTTTTGGCTTAACCAATTCTATATTTAGGATCCTATAAGGTAACCCCAAAAGGAACTACAATGGGCCCTAAACCCTAAACCCTAAACCCTAAACCCAAAGCCCAGGGTCCCGGGTTTTGGGGCCTTGGGGTCTCCCCTTTT